AAAGAGAAAGAAAGAAACAACTTCAAACACAATGGAAAGCTCTCATGCAGTAGCATCAGGACCCTGTTCTGCACCAGACTGAGACAGCTGGTAGAATTAAGCATGTCTTTGTTGTTATCTTTTTATTTATTTATTTTTATTTTTTTTATTTTTTATTCTCACCCAAGGACAGTTTTCCATTTTTTATTCCGATAGAGCGAGAGGGAGAGAGAGGAAGAGAGAGAGAGAAACACGGATGTGAAAGGGACACATCGAGTGGCTGCCACCCACATGACCCAACCAGGGCCGGGGACAAACTGCAGCCGAGGTACATGCCCTTAGCGGGAACCGAACCCAGGTCTCTCTGGACCACAGGCCAACGCTCTAACCGCTGAGCCAAACCGGCCAGGGCTGTTGTTATCTTTTTAAAACAATATGATTAAAAAAATAAATAAACGAACTCAAGTCTATCTTCTTTAATTGGATGGTCAATCAGTAGAAACCATCACCAGAATATATGTCTCCACTTCTGAATAGCCACTGGTATATGGCAAACCCATTCTTGACCACTTAATTGTTTCATGGCTAGTGTTCTCTGTGCTGATATACTGTCTCTATCATCAGAATGCTTTAAACAGGCAGTTCATAAATATTTACCATGTTTTTGATGCAAAAAAAAAAATTACATTATATTAAACAAATAAAATTCTAGGTATCTGTTCTTCAGACGTAGAATGAAAACATTTTTAAAAGTATAGGAAATGTATAACTCCCTGCTATGAATTATGTCTCTCAAAATTCACATTTTAAAGCCCTAACCCCCAATGTGACTGTATTTGGAGGGCATAAAGGGAGGTAACTCATTAAGGTTAAATAAGGTCATAAGAGTTGAGGACCTCGGCTGATAGGATTAGTGTCCTTACAGAAGAGACACCGGAGAGCAGTGTCTCTCTCTCCACCAGGTGAGGACAAGGCAAAAAGCTGGCACCGGTCTGTGGCATTTGGTTGTAGGAGCCTGAGCTCAGAGACATTCCCATGAGTTCTGTCACTCCAGCGAGGGGCACCGCAAGCTTCCTGCCATGGTGCCTGTCTTTTACCTTGATTTCTTCTTATTTTTAGCATATATTATCATTTAACTTACGCATTTTAAATGAATCACATTTATTTTCTGTCTTCCCTTGTTAGAATGTAAGCTGCATGTGGGCAAGAATTTTTTTTCTATTTTATTGACTGCTGTGCTGCCAATACCTGGAAGAGTACCTTATCGGAGTGCCCTTGCAGCAGTAAGCTTTAAAATGCTGAAAACAGCCCTGGCCGGTTTGGCTCAGCGGTTAGAGGTCGGCCTGCGGTCCAGAGAGACCCGGTCGGTTCCCGCTAAGGGCATGTATCTTGGTTGCAGTTTGTCCTGGGCCCTGGTTGGGTCGTGCGGGTGGCAGCCACTCGATGTGTCCCTTTCATGTCTCTCTCTCTCTCTCTCCCTCCCACTCGGTCTGAACAGAAGATGGAAAAATGTCCTTGGGTGAGGATAAAAAAAAAAACTTTCTTAAAATGCTGAAAATTATAAAATCAGCCTAGAAACACAGGAAAGACCAAAAACAGCATATAAATAAAGAACCCAAATAAATAAATAATTATAACATACATATTAATTAAAATTAGAACAAAAGGACGTAGACCTGGTATAACGGAATCATGTAAATGCAGTGTTGCCCTTAGCAGCCTTCCCTAAATTAAGGCAGAATACCCCTCCCTCGGAGGGTGACATTCTGTAAGAACAAATTACAAGAATAATGGATAGTCCAGGAATTTTCAACACAGAATACTCTGTGGTCAGTCTAAGAAATCAATATACAGATATATTTTTTGTTTTACAGGAGAGTGAATACTTTGAAATGATGGACACAAATTTATTTAAACACAATAGTTATTAAATTTTCATTTATTTCCATGTGAATTGGTTATGACATGCTGAGCTAGTACAAAGATTTAAATGCATTGGAAATGTAAAATAATGTGTAACATATAAGACTACACGATTTTTACTAAAAAATCTCCAGATTGTGAAAGCACATTTAACTCACTATTTCAAATCCGGCAACATATATTACCAAAAAACATATTCCATAGGGAATTGATCATCATCCCAGAGAACAGAGAATGTGCATCTCTAAGGCGTATGTATGTTCAATGACATGTTAATATATTTTAGTAACCACTAAATGTTAAACATATCCATAAGGGTATTAACACATTAAACTTTCCATTAAAAAAGAAAGATCTTTTTCTTCATTACATATGCATTTACAGATTAGAGATCTGTCAAATAAATTACTAAAAGTAGTTCAAGTTAGATCTCATAATACTCGAATTATAATCAGGGCCAAATAACCTTTAAAATGAAGGACCAAAAGTAAAATTTAAAAACCATATAATTTGCATAAATGTAATATTAGCAGTCATTTCCTGGTCACATATTTTATTGTTAACTTATATACGTCAGTCTATTAGGTCCTTAACCCTCTTATAGGTTAGTTTTCATTTTTGCAATTTTATTTTACCATAATAAGCAATATGAAAGTATTTAATCATATATAGAAATAAGGTGATCTCATAAAAATAATTCAGCATGACTGGAAACATTCTATCTGGACCATGTTGTGGTGTTAATACCTCTTTTGAAGTAGATATTTATGTTTTAGAATCTTGTGTGTCTAAAACTCATATTCAGCTGTTGGGCTCTCATAACGCATTTCCAGGGAGTTCCTCAGAGTCAAGTCATTGTTACCTCGGTGTGAAGGATGAGCCAAGGTTCTATATGCAGTGCATGTTTTGGTCTTCCTTCACTTTGAAAATAATATTAATATTTGACACTGAAGTTATTGGCTTTTAAATTTTATCCATTAAACTTTACTATAAATATTGCAATGCATTCAGATACATCTGCTCCAATAATCCTATATTAGCTTTAACAATAAAATAGAACAATCCATCTCTTAATTATATATCATTATTTTAATGCCATAATCTCTAACAAATTAGAAAATGCCTTCAGAGTATGAATTTTATTTATTTATTTATTTATTTATTTATTTATTTATTTATTTATTTTTTATCCTCACCTGAGGACATTTTTTCCATTTTTTGTTCAGATAGAGTGGGAGGGAGAGAGAGAGAGAGAAACATCGACGTGAAAGGGACACATCGAGGGGCTGCCACCCGCACAACCCAAACAGGGCCGGGGACAAACTGCAACTGAGGTACACGCCCTTAGCGGGAACCAAACCCGGGTCTCTCCAGACCGCAGGCCGACGCTCTGACGGCTGAGCCAAACCGGCCAGGGCGAGAGTATAAATTTTATTATAAGCCAAAGTCACATAGAAAAATATTAATTTATACATAGCAAATAATATTTCATTCTCTCAACTTTCTTTACTCATGTTTATATGCCAGTGACCAATGGACTAGGGATAGGGAATGTCACCACCGTCCACCACTGGAGTAATTAATTGGACAGAGTGAAATCTCATTTGCGAAGGCCGTTTTGCCTCCAGTTATTACGTTTTGTTGGAACAGTGTTTCATGGGAATGAAAACTGGCCTCGGTCATCTCGACTGAAATCGGTGATAAAGAGATGGAGGCTCCCCGCAGGGCAGAGGCTGTCCACAGTTCACGTCCGTCCACGCTGTGATGGCTGGGTGTGTTAGAAGAATTCGAAATGTTTCTTATTCTCCTTTCATTTTACTACATTGTCCTACCTAGGATTTAATGTTTCAAATAAGTGTCATATGAATGCTAACCATATATTTGCAGGCACTAGAATTTACTCTTACAAATGTCCACACACACACACAAAAAAGCAAAGCAAAACAAAAAACACCTAAATTACTAGTCTTTTCATTTTGTTTTCAACTCATATCTCAAACTCACTTCAAAGTACTTGGTTTTTGTTATACTGGTAATTTCTAGAGACTAACAACTTAAGCATAATTATGTAGCTACACCTATCTTTGAAAATAAGATTTAATAGGTAAATCAATTTTCTAGATAAAAATATGAACCAGTGTAATTGCATGTGAATAAAAATATATGAAGATGAACAAAACAATAACTGATACAGGTCAGCCTGGCCTATGGTGTTTGTCAATTACTCTGTTGGTTTGGGGGGTTTACAGATAATCACATACCCCAGTTCTCCCCCAACAAAAAAGAGAGAAAAATAAACAATTATAAACATATGGAGATAAATGTATTATGTCATATTGACTGTCTCTGAAATAGACTAGCTGTCTCAAGCTAGTGTAATCTTACATTAGAATGGCAAAAGCCCATTATTACTAGTGGTATTTTCTCATCTAAAAATCATATTTGTGCAAAAATATAAAATGTATAACTTCCACATTCAAAGGCTCCAATAAAAATTAAGCTGAGAACAGAGATCTTTATGGGGTAGGGATGTGAAAATCAGGAGACCAGGTCTAAAGGTCTCGTAGGCATTTTCAGTATTCACAGCAAAAGAGATTAATGTGAAGAACTTGGTTCCGCTGGGATACCAGTTATCTTGAAGATATTCCTGAAGACTGTCGTGCATGGAAAGATAAGGAGAATAGTGGCTTCTAGTTTGTCATTTGTTTTTGTTTGGCTTATCTTCTGTGAATTTCATATCGCATCACATAAAATAACATTTAACCTTATTGACATTTACTTTTTTTTTGTAAGGGAAAATGGCAATTCGCTAAATCGCTTTTGAATATTAGTGACAGGTGATCCTGGACTTTTACAAATGGTTTGCAAATGTTCTAGTTGTTTTATGGCAAAGTGTTTCTCAGTCTGACAAAGTAACTTACAACAAAACAGAAATAAAACAACACAAAACCCCAGGGAAAAGGAAATAAATTCATGTTTACCTTTCAGTACACAAAGTAAATGCACACCAGTTTTATAAAATACTATATAAAATAACCTATTCAGTGAATCTAACTAAAATTTAAAAAATATTATTAGCAAATCTTGACCGGGGGCCATGTGTCTAGTAAGTGACATTACAGTTGTTGTAGTAGAGGTCATCTGGAGGATCTGAACAGCAAAAGAAGGTTGTGCAAAATGCAAGAGCCTGGCCTCTTCAGGGCCGTTGCTAAAAACAACCGCACTGCAGCAGAAGGCCTCAGACTTCACTCTGGTCACCGAGACTGCTCAAATTCTGAAACTGAAGAGGAAGAAATAAGCACATGCTACTGACCAGTTAAAGAACAACAGTAATTGAAGGACGCTGTCCAGCCAAGCTAAGAAAACAACCTATGAGGCTCCGAGTCCAAGATCAGAGGTGCTGACTCTGTAACCAGCTCTACCACTTACAAATGTATAATTCCCCGGGCCTCAGTTCCTTCATTCCTGTTTGTTTTGGTTTATTAATTGTATTTCTTTATTTCTTTTGGGGGAGGGCATAGTGATGAAACCATTTTATTCTTTCTCACCACGCATTGTTAAACTTGCTCTGTGGAAATGGACAACTTTTATTTCCCAGAAGTAGCACTTCTGTTTTGTTTTGTTTTTTTTCCAATTTTATTAAATTTATTGGAGTGACACTGGTTAGCAAAATTACACGGGTTTCAGGTACACAATTCACAACACATCGTCTGTACACTGTACTGTGTGTTCACCATCCCACATCAAGCCTCTCTCCACCACCATTTATCCTCCCATACTCTCCTCCACCTCTCCCTCCCAACTCACCCCCCACCCCCCGCAATCACCGCACTGTTACAGTTGTCCATCTCCATGAGTTTTTTTCTCTTCATTTTTCTTTCTGCTCAATCTCCTCACCACCCCACCCAGTCTCCTCATTTCTGAAAATGGGTTAAATAATAGTATCTTCCTCATAAAGTGGTATCAAATTTAGTGAATTAACATGGGTAAAGCTCTTAGCATATTCCTGGAACATAGCAAGCACTCAAGAAATGCTAGGACATAATTGTAATAACAATAGTAGTAGCAGTGTTATTATTTTGTAAATACATACAGCTCTGACCAAATATAAAGGGAAACTCTGGGAGGCACCCAATGCTGTTCTAGGGATGAGGAAAGGCAATACGATTTAAAATCAAAGAAAAATTGCAGGAAACCAAAGCTCTAGGAACAGGTCTAGGACTAATAATGAAGCCCAGTATTTGGAGGATAACTGACAATTCAGATCATGTGAGTGCTGGGCTTTCTAAATACTATTTCCAAAGATGGCAATATCAGTACAGAGTCAAGGGTATCAGAGCAGAAAAAAGCTATAATGCTATACTTAGAGCTTTTGGATTTGACAGAGGTGGATTGAAATTCCCAGGACAGTGGGTCCTGGAAGAAGCATTTATTTTCCAAGCAAGCAGTTTATACTTAATAGGTGATCGCCAAATCCTGCATGCCATGATACTGTTGGAAAATCCAAATTATTAAACAAAGTTCATAACTGGTCCAAAAAAGGAATGGAAATATTTCTCTACTGGTGGTACAGTACTCGGAAGGGGAAAATTTTAATAGATTTTAGATGCCAGTGGGGTAATCAGCTAATATTAAAAAATGCAAAGCCGTTGATTTTACATTCTAATTTTTCTTATAGCCACCGCAGACCAACTTACTTGTCTCACTTTATTTGAATGGATGTTACTTATTGCAGCAGATACCGACTTAAAAAAAATTGGTTTCGCTGAGTCTAGGTTTCCACAGTACTTCATTGCTTTTATCAAGGAAGCTACAATAAAGCACAAGTAATATAAGGTATACATAGCAGCAGAAGGATCGTGTTCGATTGTGCAAGGATTCATGCTAGCCAAGGACACTACCTTCCTTACCTGTGCAATGGGCTAATGATACCTCCACACTTCTGCTTTCACAGTTCATGTAAACCTGGAAGAATTAAAATAGTATACCCACAATTAATGCAGGATAGCCAGCGAGAAGGGCTCCAATGGGCTTCAATTCAGAAGCAAGGTGAATTTCCAGTAAAGAGACAAATTTTTTGATGAAAGACCACCAGAGGGCAGTATTGCTATGCAGTCAGGCATTCCTAGACAAGCTTCTAAAAAAGATGCTTAGCAAAGATGAATGCAGCAGGACATTGTACCTTGTATACAAATAAGTCTGGCTGCTTCCATTTCCCATTTAATTTAATAACATAAAAGAATTACCTTTCCTTCCCTATAAAAATCATATACAATGGTTCTCAACCTTCTTTTATTAGAAGTCAAAGATCCATATGTAAATAATGTAATAGAGATGATAGATAGATATAGATCTAGATGATATATAGATTAGATCTAGATATAGATTAGATATAGATGATAGATATAGATGATATAGATATAGATATAGATATAGATATAGATTTTTTAATCCTCACCCAAGGATATATTTTTCCATTATTCTTCAGGTAGAGTTGGGGTGGAGCAGGGAAAGAGAAACACTGGTTGCCTCTCACACAACTCCAACCAGGGCCAGGGACTGAACCACAACCGAGGTATGTGCCCTTGAGTATAATCAAACCTGCAACTCTTTGGTCCACAGGCAACACTAACTGCTGAGCCAAAGTGGCCAGGGTACGATGTAATAATTTTACAAATTGTGCATATTCATGGACTCTCGAAATCTCATCCATGAATGATACAGCCATGAATGGTACATCCCATCCCTCCTTATACTGAAACCTAGTTTTGTTTCATTTTTAAGAGACATGAAGATAAGAGATCCTAAATCCTTTGCTTGCCACATTGTAAGATTTTGCCTCATTGAAGTCCAAGAAAATCTTAAATAAGAACAACTTATTGAACGTCCTGATCTTAAATCCACCCAGACCAAAGCCAGCCTATAAAACTCAGTGCCAGTAAATCTAGAAGTTTTAGTAACTGTAGGGTGGATTTTGTTATATAATAGTAATGTATCTTACATATAAAATATAAAGTTGCATTTAAACACCAAGAGTATGCATGATACATCTAAAATTGCCCCTTATATTCTTCTAGCAGTAGCCAGTTCTAGGTTAGAAGAGCTGTAGAATAGGCGAAATGTTATTGCCCTGAGAATGAGTAGACAAGCAAACCACTAAACAAATAGTTAATACATGAACTGAGACTTGGACATTGAATAAATGGCTCCTGCTTTTGTAAGTTGAAATGATTAATTCAAGGTGACCTGTCAGTGTTTGACTTTCCCTTAAGCTCAGTAAAGCACAAACACATTGCTATGGGTGGTTTGTAGATGTTGATAAACATAATCTGCAGTTCACTGACCTCTCCAGTGTCCTAAGCACAAAAATAAATAGAAGTCACTCCATTTCTGTCAACCTCTTGTTCCTAGGAGAATGTTTCTTATACTAATGCAACTAAAAAAATAATCTAGGAAACGTTATTTAAAAAGTGGGAGACATGGTCCAGCTCAGTGGTTGAGCATTGACCCATGCACCAAGAGGTTGCCAGTTTGATTCCCCGTCAGGGCATGTGCCCAGGTTGTGGTGAGCATGCAGGAGGCGGCCAATCAATGTTCTCGTTCATCAGCGTTTCTAACTCTCTCTCCCTCTCACTTCCTCTCTCTCTCAAAAATCAATAAAGGGAAAAAAGTTTTAAAAAAGTGGGAGACATGAATGGCTGAATAGTCTCTGTGGCTCTGCACTGTGGACCTTCTCTCAGGATGACAGCAATGAAGACATGATGTTAGTTGCAATGACATTATTTGTATGTTAAGAAATGATTCTTGCAAAAGAATAAAAAGTAGAAGCTAGCATTTTTGAGCATTTACTAACTTCTGCAAATTTTATTATGTTCTTTATATAAAACATATCATTTCTAAGCTTCACAACAGCTTAATGAAGTTGGTATTTCTACTTCTAGTTTACAGAAAAACAAATACTTAAGCCCATATCATAGACTCAGTTACATAGCTAACACTGGGACCCAGAGTTTGACTAGCTTTAAAAACATATGTTTTCAATATCCATCATAATTTACTATAATCATGATTAAATAAATCAAATAGTAATAAGGAAATTTAAAAGAGCCAACTGATACAAAACTGCTGGTTTTGTATAAACAGATAAAAAACACGAGGACAAGGGCAAATGTTATTTTTTGTCATTTAAAAAATAAAGTGCATCAGCTCATTCATTCTTTCATTCCATTGTGCAGTATTTTAAAACATTGAGATGAATGTTTAAAAAGGTGTTTTTCAACATGGATTATTTGAATTCCTCTAAATTTTCAAACTTAGATCATAAATTCAGTAGGAATAAGCATCCATTTTCTACCCTTTACTAACTGTCCTGATTTGCAATATCTGGTGAAGGCAACCAGTAAATATTAGACCATGTTCAGAAACAAATTTAAAATATAAGAAAACATACACATATTGGCTTTCCCCAGTAAAAGAACAATCCTGGTCTAGTGTTTTTCAAAATAGGATCCTTGGACCACATGCCTCAGAATTACCTGTGGCTGTTTAACATGCAGACTCTGGGGCCAGAGCTAGGATCCAGAAGTTTGCATTTTAAATGAGCACCTCATATGATCCTTACGCACAGAAACGTAATAGCACTCATCCACACCTTAACAACAGAGAGTAAATGAAAATGCTGAGCACGAGAAGCCCTCCAGTGAGGAGAGACTATCTACTTACAGTCCGGATTTAGATGCAAGAAAAGTATTCATGTTGAACCCATTGCCCAATGGTGTAAAGTTTTTACAGCGAATAAGAAAATAAGGACTTATTACATGGGGGAAAGGGTGACTTGCCAAAAATAATCAGTAGATTTGAGACTTGGGATATTTAAAATTAAATTGTATCACATAATTTACTCTCTGTATATCTGCTAATACTGAAACAAAATCACCCTTATTTTTACAAAATGAATAAACAGAGATCCAGACAGGTTAGCTGATTCTCCCAACACCTACCGATATCTAGTGTGATCTTGTTGAGACTACATTCTAAGGCTGTCACATACTAAGCAGAGTCCTGTCCACATATTCCACCCTGTCTTCATAGGAAAACCATACTGAAGTTGACCTTTGTACTATCATGAGTTTGAAGGATTGGACATTTTATTACTTATTTATTTTTATTTAATTTTTTTTTTAATTTATTGGATGACATTGGTTAATAAAATTATATACGTTTCAGGTATACCATCCTATACAACATCATTTGTATGTTGTGTTGTGTTTACCATCCCAAGTCAAGTCTCCTTCCTTCACCATTTATACCCCACGTTAAATAACAGAGACACGGTTACGAAACACAACAAGAAAATCAAAATCCACGTCGCGAGAACTTTGAAAGACTACTGATCTTGACTGTTTAAAAAGTCAATGTCCAATTTTGTCTTGTGGCCATGATGAGTAAATAATATAAGACTATTCTATCCTCCATAAAGAGATAAACAACAAGACAAAACTACACGGTTTTCCGACAATGGGAGCAGGCAGCACAGGCTTGAGCTCCCCGGGAGAAGGAAACAATGAGACGAGTTCTCCCGGTCTCAGCTCTCTGGGACAAAGCAGTTTCTGAGCCACTGCGGCTTGGTGAGGGGGACCCAATGAAGATGCTCCACTAAGCTGAGCAGGCAGAATGGGAGTTTAGGAGAGGTTGGGCGGGTGAAACTTGAGAGGATAATGGAAAGGAGGAAGATATGCAGAGAAAAAGCTCCAGAAATGTTCACAGGTTTCCAAGACGTTTTGGCTGAATACAAAGCCACACATAGAGAATAATGCATGAGGCCAGGGTCAGAGAACCTCTGAGGAGCAAGCGCCAGAAGATGCGGCGAGCTGAGTTTGATGCAGCAGAAGCTGATGGGGAGAGGGGGGCTGAGGACAGCTGGGAAACAGATGCTGCCTCATCCTCAAGATCCTCCCCCCAAATTTAGGATATTAAAGTAGAGAACCAATGGGAATGAGAAGGGGACTACTTTGCTTGTCGACAAAGTGTTTACTCAAACGAGAAAAGAAAAAAAATTCAGAAGTATCTGTAGTTTTCCTTGAATTGGCAAAATTAGGTCTTCTTTCATCTGTAGAAATCGGGGCTTGTGAGCTATGTCAGGTTTAAAGAAATACAACTTTTATTCCTTGCATACCAGGATGTGTGGAGACCCCGTGGAGATCATGGGATAGAGAAGTAAGCACCATCATCCAAGAGAATCGAGAAAAGTCCCTGCCGTGGACACTTTCAGAGACCAGGAGTGATAGGAGAGGGGACATCCTGTCACCACCACGGCTACCTGGTGATCATGGAGGGGATTTCCTCCTTCTGACTGCCCAGCATCTGCTATGCCCACTACATCTTAAGTCCATGTCTGTTGTCTCTGTCTCCTGTGAATATCCCCACCTGTGGCCCCCACACAGTCACGAACCTAAAGCTCGGGGGATTGCCTGAAAAGAAATGTAGAGTAGTGGATGGCACACAGTTCAGTGTCCTTTGAGAGAAAGGGTAAGATGGGCATTGAAACCAGCAGAGTCAGGATCCCCGAGCTGGGAGAGGAGATGGTGAGAACCCTGTTCCTGAAGAGAAGGGATCGGTCCCGACACACGCTGCGTAAATACCTCAGCAAGCATGGAGACTCCGGAAGAGTCGAAGAAGGTCAATCCGCTGCAATCCAGGATTAAAGAACATTTCTCATTTGGGCAGGACTGCGGTGCTTCTTCTGTAGAAGGGACATAGACTTGAGTTAAGGAGAATTCTTAGAGATTTCTTCTGCTGATTTTGTTGAAAAGCAGAACAATAACAGTGGCCTCGTGTTTAATAAGACGAATTCCAAACGCTTTTTCACCTTTATATTTTCAATTAATTACTAATTATTTCTAAACTTTTTTATTATTCAAATGTTATTTCAGATGATTATTATATAATGCAGTGAAGAAGACTGGAAAAGTTGATTAGCAATATTATTTCACAGATAGATAAACTGAAGCTCAGCAGGTTTAGATAATTCTGAAAAAAAATATCTGGCCAGTTGGTGCCAAATAGACTAGAACAGAGGCCTCAAGACATTCTGCATAGAACTCCTTCCACGATATCACGGTTTCCTTCATGAGTGTCCAGAGGTGGAGCCATGTTCTGTTGTCCCTGGAGCTTATACAATTTTGAGTCATACTTTTAAGGAAAATACTCATTACTGAAGCTTGTCTTTTGGACATGGAAGGAATCTGAAGGAGGGGCCCTGAAAATTAAGTTTCATTGGGTTCATGGTAAATTTGCCTCAAAAAAAGCACCTGTTGGAAAAAATAAATCTTTGTACATAGCAGTTCATGACCTCTTTTTCACTGATGTCCTAAGAGCCTTGCCTTGCGTGAAATGACATATTTCTAAAATAATGACAGGTGCCTGGCCGGTGTGGCTCAGTGGTTGAGTGTTGACCCCCGCACCAAGAGGTTGCTGGTTCAATTCCTGCTCAGGGCACATGCCCAGGTTGTGAGCCCGATCCCCAGTGGGGGTCATATAGGAGGCAGCCAATCAATGTTCTCTCTCATCGATGTTTCTATCTCGCTCTCCCTCTCTCTTCCTCTCTCTCTAAAATCAATAAAGAGAAAAAATAAAATAAAATAATGACAGGCCACATCGCAGCCCCCTAAGGTGTGATGAGGCTCTCAGAGATCTAGTAAGCTAAGATTTTCTCACCATCAGAAGGCAAAGTCGATCAAATAATTTCCAACTGATTCATTATTATGAAGTTCTCTAAAAGTTTATTCTTAATTAGAACAACTTTGCCACTTAAAATGCCCATAGTACTCTCCTACAGTAGCTACAGCAAAGTGGGAATATGGTAGTATCTCAATTAGCACTGAGAGGAAATATAAGGGAAATTGTGTATTTTTAAAACCTGCTGCTTAAAGAAAAAACAGGCAAGCAGAAAATATAAAATAAATACTGAACATTTATGTATAACAGTAACTGTTAGGAAAAGAAGAAATGTTACAAAGTAATTCTAATGTATTTGAACATTGCTTTTCAGGTATTGCATTTGCTTCCAAGTTTAATTTTTAGATCTATATTAATGATTATTAACTGAGAAATAACTAGAGCATATACTATGTTCAAATTTTTTTTCAAATGTAATGAAGGGTACAAATGTGAGGAAGGTCCCATGAGTGGCAAAGATAAGCTAGGCACATGAATGGCATGACTTAAAATGAAAAAAAGAAAAAGGGAGAAGAAGCCTTCTTGTACAAGTCGTCTTGAAAGAGATATATACTTTCAAAAGTAGAAATGATATGGAGATGTGAGCATTCCAGTCATATGGACATTTAATTGAACACTGATGATAGTTTGAGATCTGAAACTCCTCCTGCTTTCATTCTGTCAACATGTACTGAGGACCGTCTGCACGCCAGTCCCCTCAGGTATGCTTTCGATGTCCCTGGTCTCCCGTGGGAACGAGGGCTAAGCAGTAAGTATAAGTCCAGGTTACGCTGCCATGTGCCTAAAACGGCAAATTAGAACCTCAAACAAAATAAGTAATTACAATTTAACTCATCCACTGACTTCTCAGTAGTAATCACTATCACGCACTATTTGTCTAATTAAACATAGGACTCACCTCTACTATGCAATGGCTTTTATTTATATTCTCAGATATAGTGAGTTCCTGCTCATTATCAGAGATAACAGGGAATGCAGATCACAGGAAAAAGAAAAATACGTATCCCGAGCAAAGATAAACATTGGTATTATTCATTTTATCTCCTAATCTTGTAACACACACACACACACACACACACACACACACACACGTCAGTGCTATATTAGTTTATAGATACTTTATTCCACTTTGTTTAGTTACAATAAAAAAATGCTAAAACAATATTAAGTTGCACATTATTTAGTTGTGACGTATTTCCTTGCATATTTTTATTATTCAAAAGTACATTTTTATTTAATTTGAAAACATTTTATTGAGTTTTTATAGCATAAAAATCTCTAAAAATTAAACATTAAATAAGCTTTCTTAGAAAAGTTAAATATTAATATGATATATATATATGTATGTATATATATATATATTTAAAAATATGGTCCTGGCCAGTTTGGCTCAGCGGGTTGGAGCCTCGGCTTACGGACCAGAGAGTCCTGGGTTTGGTTCCCGCGTACCAATAAATAAATAAATAAATAAATAAATAAAAATAAATATGACCCTGGCCAGTTTGGCTCAGCGGTTAGCGCATTAGCCCGTGGACCAAAGGAGTTGAGGGTTTGATCCTGGTGAAAGGCACGAACCTCAGTTGCAGTTTGAGGAGGATAGGTTTTAGTTCTTTATTTTTTTAAATTCTTTCCCCTTTATTGATTTTAGAGAGAGAGGAAGTGAGAGTGAAAGAGAGATAGAAACATTGATGAGAGAGAACATCGATTGGCCACCTCCTACATGCCCCACAGCGGGGATCAGGCCCACCACCTGGGCATGTGTCCTGGCCGAGAATCGAACTGGCGACCTCTTGGTGCATGGGCTGAAGCTCAATCACTGAGCCACACCGGCCACACAGGTTTCAGTTCTTTAAATGTTTGGTATAGTTCCTCTGTGAAGCCATCTGCTCCAGGACATTTGTTTGCTAGGATTTTTTTTTTTTATTCTGCTTCAATTTCATTAGTTGTATTTAGTCTATTCAGGTTTACTGATTTTTCTGATTTAGTTTTGGAAGATTGTATATTTATAGGAATTTATCCATTTTGCCCAGGTTGTCCAACTAATCCTTAAAAAATATCAGCAAATCAGATCCAATAATACATTTAAAAGATTATATACAATGATCAAGTGGGATTTATTACAGGGATGCAAAGTTGGTACAATATTCACAAATTTAAAAATGTAATACATCACACAAACAAAATGAAAGATAAAAATCACATGATCATATCAACAGATGCAGAAAAAGCATTTGATAAAATTCAGTAACTATTTATGAAAAAGAATCTCACAAAGTGGGATAGAGGGATCACACCCCAACACAGTGAGGGGCATTGCTGACAAACCTGCAGCCAACATCACACTCGGTGGGCAAAAACTAAAAGCATTTCTCTTAAGATCAGGAATAAGACACGGAATTGCATTTTCAAAACCCTAATTCAGCCTAGAACTGGAAGTCCTAGCCAGAGCAATCAGACAGGAAGAATAATTCCAAATTGGAAAGGAGAAAGTAAAACTGTCATTATTCACAGATGATATGATATTGTACATAAAAAACCCTAAAGACTTTACCATCACCATAAAACTACTAGAATTAATAAATGAATGTGGCAAAGTAGCAGGATGCAAAATTAATATTCAGAAATCAGTGGCATTTTTATACACCAATAATGAACTATCAGAGGAAGAAACTAAGAAAACAACCAAATTTACCATTGCAACAAAAAAATAATAAGGCCCCTAGGAATAAATTTAAACAAAGAGGTAAAAGACCTGTACACAAAAAACTGTAGAACACTAACGAATGAAATTGAGGAAACTAAAAGTATGTGGAAGTATATACTGTGTTCATGAATTGGAAGAATTGACATCATTAAAATGTCCATACAACCCAAAGAAATCTATGGATTTAATGTAATTTTTATTAAAATACCAATGGCATATTTCACAGATAGAACAAATATTCCAAAAATTTATATGGAACCAAAAAACACCCTGAATAGTCTCATCAATCTTGAGAAAAAAAAAGACAAAGTTGGAGGTATCACAATACCTGATATCAAAGTATACTACAAGGCCACTGTAATCAAAACAGCCTGGTACTGGTAAATGATTGGCATATAGACCAATAGAATAGAATAGAGAAGCCAAAAATAAAGCCACACCTTTATAGCCAATTAATATTTGACAAAATAAGCAAGAATGTGTAATGGAGTAAACACAGTCTTGTCAGTAAATGGTGTTGCAAAAATTGAACAGGTATATCCAAAAAAAATTAAACTAGGCCACCAACTTATATTATACACAAGAATAAACTAAAAATGGGTTAAAAAAAATTAAAGTAAATCACGAAATCATAAAAGTCCTAAGAGAAAACATAGGCAGTAAAATATCAGGCATCTCTTGTAGCAATATTTTTGGCCTATATATCTCCTAGGACAAGGGAAACAAAAAAATAAATAAACAAATGGGACCATATCAAAGTAAAAAAACTTCAGCAAACGAAAATATCAACAACATGAAAAAAGAACTACTATATGGGAGATCATATTTGTCTATGATACATCTGATAAGGGGTTAATTCCCAAAATGCATAAAGAACTCATACAAATCAATACCAGGAAGACAATCCAATTAAAAATGATCAGAGGACCTGAATAGACAGCTCTCCAAGAGGACAAACAAATGGCCAATAAACATATAAAAAAATACTCAATATCACTGATCATCAGAGAGATGCTAATTAAAATCACAATGAGATATCACCTCACAGTTGCCAGAATAGCTACCATTCATAAATCAATAAATGAGTGCTGACGAAGATGTGCAGAAAAGGGAACCCTAGTGCAGTGCTGGTGGGAGAGGAGACTGGTGCAGACACTGTGGAAAACAGTATGAGGTTTCCTCAAAAATTAAAAATGAAGCTGCCTTTTGGCCCCATGATACTACTTCTGGTAATATACCTTAAGAATCCTGTAACACCAATTCAAAAGAACATAATATCCATCAGTAGATGAGTGAATAAA